GCAGATGCATTGTCACCCTTGAGGACTAAGATGGATTGTTAGCAGTGAAAATGGTAAGAACTATTAATCTTAAAATGAAATGCAAACGAAACTACTCCCCTGGATCTTTTATTCTATTAAATATTATTTCTCAGCAATTCATCCTGAGTGCATCTAATAATTCACTAAGAGAAACCTTTTTGCCGTCTTCGAATTCTATGCGCATGTAATTGTAGCAGAAGATTTTTTATGCAAGTAGTGGTGCTTCCACACAATACCTATATACTATTATATAACATTTGTGAGAAGCATTTAAACTATTACAATGTATGTAAACGGTTATTATAAAAGATATTATCGTATCAAAATTCTTTTACGACGTTATATCGAAATGATACGAAAGAAAATTATAAATTTTATTAATTACTATAAACCAGCCCCAGTTTTGTCTGGTAGAAGCTATCAAAGTGGTGTTATTTAGATTTAAGTAACTAAATCAACGAACAATAAATAAATTTTTCGTCTTTTCAAAAGTAGTTTCATAACAAGCAAGATTAGCCCGGATAAACAAACAGACAGACAGGCGGACAGACAGACAAATTAAAAACAATGGTCATTCCTTTCTTACTGGCATGCAGATAATCAGCTCAATACAAGACAGTTATTTTGATACTACAAACAAATATCTCAATTATTTTATTTATATCTATATTTTTATGGACATCAAAACTAATTACTCCAGTATTTCTGTTGTATTGTACTTTGCTCGCGCTTCCATTGCTCGCCGCTTCTAGTTAAAGCATTTTTTTCAGCAAACTCTTTAAAAAGTGTACAAAATGTTAATCAATATTATAGGTACAACAAGTTAGGAAGTTTTCATCTCTGTGAGAGCATACATACCAGGCTGCACTAAAAGTATCGGGAATGGAATATTTCCACTGTTCCTGTCATATTAAAATCTTTTTAATTGAAAACTCCTTGGTTTTAAAAACCGAATACCATTTATTTATTTAAAAAAAGATTCACGGTCTTATCACAAGGTTTAGTCAAACTTGTTTAATCGTTGAGAAAATGGAATTGACTCGAGAAAATTCAAGAGCGATGATTTATTACGACTTTCGTAGTGGTTTAACACAAAAACAGTGTGTTGACTGGATGATTTCTGCATTTGGTGATGAAGCCCCATCCATAACCACAATTTATCGCTGGTTTGCTGAATTTCAAAGTAGACGTGTCAAGCTCAGTGATGATCCCCGTCAAGGTCGTCCAAAAACTGCAGTCACCCAAGTAAACGCTGATGCTGTGCGTAAGCTGATTGAGGAAGATCGACATGTGATATACCGCGAAATTCAGGCAACTTTAGACATTGGCATGAGTCAAATACAAATAATCTTGCATGAACAATTAGGTGTAAAAAAGTTGTTTTCCCGATGGATACCGCATTCGCTCCGTGAAGAGCAAAAAGCGGCTCGCGTTACTTGGTGCGTCAGAACTCGAAAGATTCCACGCAGGATCCTCCTGTATACAACATCGTATCAGGTGACGAATCCTGGGTATACGCGTACGAATCCGAAACGATAAACCAGTCACGAGTTTGGGTGTTCGAAAATGAGTTAAAGCCAACAAAAATTGTTCGTTCACGGAGTGTTGCAAAAATAATGGTGGCCACGTTTGTCTGCAAAACCGGCCATGTTACGACTATTCCTCTTGAGGGACAAAGAACGGTTAATGCAAAATGGTATGCTAGCATTTCTTTGCCACAGGTCGTTTCTGAACTCCGTAAAGAGAACTGCAACCACCGCATCATCCTCCATCACGACAATGCGAGTTCTCACACCGCACACAGAACAAAAGAGTTTTTAGAGCAAGAAAACATAGAAATATTAGACCACCTGCCGTATAGCCCCGACCTAAGCCTTAATGATTTCTATACTTTCCCTAAAATAAAGAATAAATTGCGTGGACAGAGATTTTCATCACCTGAAGAAGCTGTGGACGCCTACAAAACGGCCATTTTGAAGACCCCAACTTCCGGATGGAATGGTTGCTTCAATGAATGGTTCCATCGTATGGAAAAATGTGTCAAATTTCGCGGAGAATACTTCGAAAAGCAATAAATACATTTTTAAATAGTAATGTTGTGTCACTTCCTTGATTCCCGAAATTTTCAGTGCCCTCGTAATAGCGTTAACGTTCCGTATTTCTTAAGTTTTAATATGCTAGTTGGATAGGATATGCCCGATATTTTGTTAAATATATTACGAATCAACAAAAATCTTCACCGATCGAAATGATGAATAAAATAATAAAGTAATTTTCAAATACAGAGACAACGTATAACGCATATAACGCACGCAAGTCTAAAATGGACGGATGTTCGTTTATTGCACGCCGAATTAAAATACATTTGAAGTATTTAGTGCTGATCTGTCTTTTTTATAAACGTGACAAATTAAAAAAATATTATATTGCGTGCAGCATATAATATTTATTAGTTGAGTTTATGTCTTTCATTTAAATTAGTAACGATAAGGAAAAGCTTATTTAGAAATTGTAATGAAAACATAATTTTATTAAAAGAAATATATTTAATCATAGACAAACAAAACAGTGACCATAAATATTATGAATTATAATTAAGTAATAGTATTGTTACGAGCTTGAGGTTCGTGACAATAAAAATTGCCGATAAAATTACCTAAATTAACACTTTAATTTACTTTACGCAAATTAAAACTAAAAACACTAATAATTAAACACACTAATTCACTTAATTCCGCTCCGAAGCTTCGCTTGTGTCGCTGAGTTCAACTCTACTGCGATCGCATCTTGTAGCACCTATTTATTTAAATTAGCAAAGAAATATCCAGAATGTTCAAGTAAACACGCGCAAGGTACCGAGCGTTCGAGTTTCGACTAGGCGCTGTCGGTTGAAACATTTGTGATGTCATTTTCTCAATGCTCCCCTCGCTCTCGTTCCTGACACTAGATAGCGCTAGTTAACTTATTCACGCAACAGTATGAAATATAAACTAAGTATTATTTAACCATTTATTTCACACAGGATAACAACCATTTTTAAATAACATTAAATTTAAAGTTAAAACAATTTTATAATTAATAAACCAATATTTATTATAAATTAACAAAAAATCTAAATTGTGTGAAACTAACTTTTTAGATACGAGTTGATTATTATTATTCATATTTAATGCGGTACAGCCATATTGCAGCTATTAAATTATATCACTAAAATACAGCAACCACTTATAAGCGGGCTACATACGACACGATATCGGTGGCGATCTAGGGTGGAGTAGTGGGGATGCCTCCTAGATTGCCTCTAAATCGTGTCGTATGTAGGGCCATCCTAAGTCGTGGCCGATATCGCCTCCTTAATCGGCTGGCAGGAGCAAAAATGCTTCCTAGATCAGCCGATGCTTCCTAGATCGGGGCACCGCCCCCTCCTTACTGCGTGTGTGTAGGCGCATCGGCCCGATTTCTTTTAGCAGTCGCTGCCGGCAACCCTCGCGGAAGGAAGTTAACAAAACAGTGATACTGAATGACCTTTTTTTATATAACAAAATTTTTACATTTTAATCATATAAACGGAGTAGAAGCCTATGGCACTGATATTTTACAAAAAAAAAAAAAGTGAATAAAATAAATAAATTAATTGAAATTTTCTCGAAATTCAAATCATATCCACCCTAGCCTGTGACCCTGCGAAGTGACATGGTCAAGAATGCCTACTAAACTAATATTTTTTATTGCCGTTCGTAAAGTAGAGTGTATGATGTAAGTAAGGAGAAGATAAAGCCTCTCCTCAACAACTAACTCCTATTCCAACGCTATCAACACAAGACCGCACTCATATCTCTTACAACTTCGATCTCTTACGTGCCTTCATCCTCTTATCAACAACTAACTTCTACTCCTTCACCATCTCCACATCAACAAACAAGTTATATAAAAGGGAGTATGTCCGAAATTAAAGGTTTCTTTATGTTTAAAAAAAAGATATAAGCTATTTTATTTTCTGATAGTTTTACTCCATAAATAAAGATTACATTAAAAAAAAAGTATACATATTATTATACAAAAGTATTTTATTTCCTTGTTTGTTGTGTGTAATACATAACCAGATTTTGACCAAAGCAGAAATGAACAAAGAGAAGAAATAACTAAATAGCATAGGTAGGAGAAATTGACGTTTTTATATAAGTGGCGAAATCATTTCTAGAAGGTTATAAACACTGTCTTCATCCATCCGGAGAAAATTAATCACGTCCTTGGATTACAGGCCATTTAGTACGTTTATGTGGCTTAATTTTTATCTCTTTTGGAGCCATTTTTTCACCCAGCAACTTCTCTTTTTCTATTTTCGAATAAATTAACCGAGATGGCAAATGCCAAACCAACACGGTGGTGTTTTAAGAGAGTCGGAGGTATTTTGAAGAACTCTACCGCATATGCATTCCGCTCCAAGTCCGAACGCGTACTGCTAGGCAGGCCCGTGTGTAAGGTCTACCCCGATAAAAGCCCCGATTTCTTTCCACCCTAGATCGCCACCGATATCGTGTCGTATGTAGCCCGCTATAGTCTGCGCGGAAGTGCTAGTCATCGCCTTAGGTATGCAAGCGGCGAGACGGGGGAGGACGCGATTGACAAGACGCACACGAGATATTTGAGGACAGATAAATCTCCGGATAACCATGTTAGAAACTGTCTTAATTAACATAATGGGTAAATTATTTATATTTTCCGGGCTAAACAAAAATTAACACGTATTTAAAAGCGTTAATTAGATTTTATTATTTATAATACAAAACAGTTTTATAAACTCACCACCCAAATTAAACCTAAATTACCTTACTGCGAGAATTCTATGTTCGACCTGTGGGTTCGTATCACAAATAAGGAGGTTATTAAAACCTTGCGGTGTCTAGACATGAATAAAGCTAGTGGACCAGTTGGTATACCAGCTATAGTTCTATAGCGAAATCCGTTATAGCACAAAATTAATCCATATCTTCTTCTTCTTCTTCATTACTATACATGTCTTCAATTTCCATATCCTCCTCAGAATCTGAATCGTTTCCCAGGTTTATGATCAACTCGTCTATTACATTGTCAAACCTCATATCGTGGTCCCAATATTGGTTCTCGATTTTCTGTACGTGGTCGTCACACTTTTGCCATCTTCCCGGAGTGAATTCAGAAAACAATTTTGTGATGATTGGAATTTTGTCGTCCAATGAAGTATTTATATAATTTGTAGCTAAATTGTTCTTTATATCGGCCCACACAAGCTCAATGGGGTTGAGATCAGGATGATATGGCGGAAGGCGAAGAACGATATGACCTGAAGCCTTTAATATTTCGTCAATGACGTAAATTTTTTCGGACTGTGACTTTGTATTATCTGGTGTAAATTCAACATTACGTTCGCGTAACCAATCTTGCATGTCCCTTTTTAAACTTGACATAGTAGGTTTTTTCTTTACCTGTACACAATGGTAGGAGGCATTGTCCATTACGACCACTGAATTAGGAGCTAGTTTATTTTTCAATTTGTGACTAACCCAGTTATGAAAATTTGTGGCATTCATATCGCCATGGTAATCCCCACATTTCGAATCTGATTTGAAAATTGTTAAGGCACCGTTAACTAATCCGTCTCGGCTACCACCATGAACAATCACCAAACGACGCCCTTTGCCAATATCAGCATAAATTCCAGGCTCAGATTCGGATTGCCAACACATATTGGAGGTGTGGCTACTATTAACGTAGGTTTCGTCCAGATAATATATGTTTCGGTTTTCATTTCTATGTTTCCGTATAGCTCTTAAATACCTTACTCTCCATTCAGCAATACTGGGCCTCTCAATTAAAATGTGTCTCTTAGATTTACATTTTTTAAATAAATATCCCATCTTATGTAAAAGCTGTCGTAAATAGGTACAACCGCAGTTCACAATGCCATCTTCTTTTAAAACTGCAAGCAGCTTACGAATACTTGGGATTTTCTTATCACTAGTATAAAATTGATGAATTTTTCTTCGTATAACTCCCATGTCAAAATCATCAATCTGGATTCTCTTTTTTATTTCTTTAGTTTTCCGCGGAGATGAAAATTTTGCAATTTCCGATGTTTGTAGACTCGAATTTCCTTCAGCTACAATTCGCATTACGGTGCGGGCAGACACTCCTGTAGCCTCTGCTACTAATTTATTAATGTTCATATTATATTTGTGTTCCATACATTCCTTGTCGCCCTTTCGTCTTAAAAAAAAACTATGTACATTATAAATAATATTTTTCACTTGTCGTGGTATTGGCGGACCCATCTTAGAATATTTATCTCGTGTATTTTTGGAGAAAACTGTCGCGTACAACTGAATCGTGTAACCGTCGCGGCGGTTGACGGCAGACTGCGTCAGCTTGATGTTTATCTACCTCCCCCGTCCTGCCGCTCACATACCTAAGGCGATGACTAGCACTTCCGCGCAGACTATACCATCAGGTGGACTGTGTGCCCATTTGTCACCCTATTCTATAAAATTAAAATAAAAGGTATCATCGATTAAGAATCAAAATGCAAGATGCCTTGATACCCCTGAGGACTAAAATGGAAAGCTACGTTACTACGAAACAGGGTTTTCAGTTTTCTACACTCATCATACGAAACACAGCATCATTTTTGTGATAACGTATTCCTAAACCCGTCATACCTACAAAATATAACAAGCAAAAGCTTTTATCTGGAGTCTACCACGTATGCAATTTCATATTATTTAGTGCATTGTGTAAGAGGGATTACGCTGCCGTTTTTCTCTTACAAAAACTGCGTCTAATTCCATAGTTTTGGCTATCAACTGATGACGGAAAATCCATACCGAAACGATGACCCGTGAGTTTTACCGCATAGTGACTGAGAGCTGTTGAAGAGCATTTTACTTACAAATTGCTTAGTCAGCAAGATAAATAGGCTTCAAACCTGCACGTTGGCATTTTTTTAAAAAGGCCAAACTCCAGAAGTAAAGTTATAATAATTTATTGTAGGAGTGTGGATTAATAAACTTTAAAATTAATTGATTGTTAAAGTGATACAAAATAGAGATATTTATAATTCGAGAATAGTTGCATGAATTAAATCAGTTTATTGTTTCTTTAAAGAGCTGTTTAGAGAGATCAATAGTGTTTCAAAGTTTACTTGTATAGCAATAAAATTTCTGTTAATTAAATAACGTCTTTGGTACCATCTACCTTTAATTAAATTAGTGTCTTTTGATTCATTATTGGCAGAATTTCCCTTAGACATAATCAGTGAGTAAAATTAATTAATTAAGCCAGTATCGTCGATACGAAAAGTATTCATCAGTTTCGAAACATTTGAGTGATACAATACCGAAAAAAAATTATACAGGGTGCACGTTTGGCCTCACATGTAATGTTGTTCTATATCTGGGCTGGGGCTCCCCAGTGTCAGCTTTTATCATTAGACCGCATCCAGGGCAGAGCGGCTCGAATCGTCAACGACCGAGTTCTCTCCAATTGGCTCAATTTACCAGCGCTGCGAAGAGATGTTGCATCTCTTTGCATTTTCTATTGTGCTTACTATGAAGAGTGCTCAGAGGAATTGTTCGGATTATGATTTCTTATATTTACGCGAACACTACACATTGAAATAATACTAGTTTTTACGGAATTTATCGCGTATATTTAACTTTTTAATACCCGACGTTTCGAGAGCTTTACAGCACCCATGGTCACGAGAAGGACTGAGTAGTTCAACGTCCAGATGTCATAGTTAACCGCGGTTACCATAGATTAAAATTTAACTTTTGTTCCGATCTACATAGTATGAACTTATGGTATCATGAAGTCTTGCAGTTGTATGCTTGGGTTGGGATTTAATTTTATTTATTATAGGATCCCAAGCAGATGGTAGCACCCAGCCATCTTCTCTATTGAAATTAGGATGTTTTTTGATTTCAATAGCCTCGCGAATCATCCTTGGAAGGAATCGGTGTTCTTTAGCGAGGATTTGTGGTCTATCAAATCTGATGTAGTGACGGGGGCGATCCTGTCGTGATTTGTTCGGATTAATTTCAGGCACCAAATTTAGCCAACGCACGTCGCGAAAGAATCGCGTCATAATCCACATCATATAGATGCTTGACGGTCCACTGCTGTGCGATTCTCTGTCTTTTCTTAACCGTACGACTTCTTTCTTGAATCATTTACCACCAGTGATTTTTCGGACCGGTACGTCTTAGGGACCTTCAAACCTTTTTGAATAGCTGGCAATACACCTGCAATTGTTCTGGTATTGTTAATGGGTGGCAGTGGATGCTTACCATCAAGTAAGACGAAGGTTCGTTTAACTCATTTTTCGTAAAAAAAGGTTGTTATGAATGGGAGTAGTGCTTTCGGGTTTCTTAAATAATATATCATCTTATGAAATCTCGCTATGGGGTAATACATGAGACCTAAAGTCCTTTAGAGAAAAATTTTGAGAAATTTATAGGTACTTGAGATTTTTATCACATTGTGAAACTTCGACTTCATCATTCTTATTTATCTTGATGATGCCGTGAGTAATAATTAGTTGGTTTTCATAGTTAGTAAATTAATGTTTTATAATAAGTTTTGTAAAACAAGTAGAAGAAAGAAATAAAGAAAGATTTATTGCAGCACGCCACCAACATCAGTAGGTACTTAAATTTTAACATTTGTGGACACATCAATTATAAACATTATTTATAACAAACAAAAACAAAAATAGGAAACAAAACAACAATTTGACGGATAAAACAATTTAAAAGTATGTATACTTATAGATTATAATTAAAAATAAAATAAAATAGAAAGACAAAAAAATCGCTTCTCATATATTGTACGAGTATTTAGTGGCGCGTCATACAAATTACAAACGGACCTCACTCAACTTATGCTGTCGCCGGAGCAACAGCGCAGCGCTGGTTTTCAGTTTTCAGTGGGCCCGAACGGATCGTAACGTACGGACGTCCGCGCGTGACACATAATAATATTTTAAAACCAATCTGTCCAACATGTGCTTTTTATACATGCACTTTATTTTTATTTTCAAAAACTTTGTGTAGTGTGTTCTTAACTTTATTAATTAATATGTTATATTATTTTAAAAATTTATTATTACATTATATATATATATATATATATATATATATATATATACAATACTTATTTCTAAAACTTATACATGAATTACATCAGTTATTAATTGACGACACTAAATTACACTTTTTTTTAGCCTGCAGTTAGTGGACCTATCCGAACAGTATCCAATTTAAGGTTATACTATCATCACTTCGCTTTATTAGTTGCGACCTTGACCGCCTGTGTATGTGCCAGTACCCATTTTGGTGAGTAGTAGGCTTCAGCCTGTGTTCTTCTGAGTTAATATTAGATAGATATTTTTCTTTAAATGTTTTAATTGTTTTCAGCCTACGAAGCGGTGGCGGCAGGTCATCCCAACACCTTGAGGCAGCGTACCTAAAGCTCCCACGAAAAGCAGCGGTACGATGGAATGGCACGGCGAGAGAATAAATCGACGCACGAGTTATTTTTGAATTTACGTCGCGCGACCACACCAACTTTTGGAAGAGATAAGGTGGCAAAATATATATAATTATACCAAACAGCAAATAAATTTAATTATACAAACAAGTACATGTATTTATCTAAATCCCAGAAATTATATATTAACTTTGGCCTCTCTGTTTGTTTACGACAATTTAGTATTTATACACAGGAACAAAAATTGTGATTCTTCCCAAGACAGAGATTTTTTCCGAACCAGTGGTAAAAGTTTATTGACTTTTAATAAGTATTCTTGAAATCTTTAATGAATAAAAATTAGTCCATTCTATTCTATAGAAAGCCAGTATAAATATAGGGTATGATCTACAGGATCTCAATCCTCTAAATCTAGACAACGCATCTGTAGCCTTCTTTGTTTGAAGAACGTGGTTGCAGATGGCCATGGACTGCAGTATTCGCTAGAATCAGGTGGAATATAAGTTTGTTTGGCTTTTCAGTGTTATACAAAAACTTACTTTTGATGTACTAAAGCTATGCTGCAGCTATATTGCTTATGACCAGCAACGCACCTGCAATTCCCATGGTGTTGCGGTAGTTCATGGCCGGCGGTAGTCACTTACCATCAGGTGAGCTGCGAGCACGTTTGCCTCACTCTTCTATAAAAAACATGTATTATATCGGGTTGAGTCGATCGGGGGAAGGACCACGCGCTCACAAACTACTAGCATAAAATAGAATAATCCTGATGTTGTGTTTCGTGTGGTTAGTGTAGTGTGAGAACAGGAAACCCTTTCTACTGGAAACGAGGCATTCCATCTTAGTCTTTGGGGGTGACAATGCCATCTGCCTTTTTTATTATTAATCGAGGATAGATTTAGGTACATACTTTGAAACACAGCATTCTCTTACCATCAAGTGGACCGTGTACTTGTTTATTACCCTTCTATGTAAAAAAAACGTTTACTATTTATCCAAGCTTAACTTATATTAACGTCCTTTTAATTTATTTTTAAAATTTTTCATCAACAGCATCACTACAGGCCTTCAAGTATATGTAAATTTCGTAATAAAAAAATAAAACCTAATAAAAGGAATTTTTTTTATCAAATCTTCGTCAGTGAGTACAGTTACCTAAGTATACATCATAGCGAACTTGACTTACGTTTCCCATGGAACACTCAAATGAAATATTTTTCATTATGAGCATGAAGATAATTATTTTCCCCGAAGACGTCTACCAACCTTACAGAATAATTAAAGTAGACTTTAATATGAGCGTTTAATTTACGTGTATAGGTGGTAGAACTACGCTGCAGCTATATTATAGTTGTAGCACGAATGGGTCGGCTCGACCGGGGAAGGACCACGCTCTCACAGAATACCAGCGTAAAACAGCAGCTTAATACTGTTGTGTTTCGTATGGTGAGTGTAGAGATTCGGAGACCCTTTTTTACTGGTTACGAGGCATTCCGTCTCAGTCCTCTGGGGTGACAACACACCTGCGTTTTGATTCTTAATCGAGGATAAATGTAGACGGCTATGACCTACTTCATCCACTCACTATCAGGTGGACTGTGTGCTCGTTTGTCACAATAATTATTCTTTATAAAAAAAAGAAGATATTTCCGTTAAAATTTGAGAAAAAAATTGTGTCTGCTTATACCCGTAAAATAAAGTACGGCAATTCTTATTCTTATTTTATAAACTTTACTCCTACACTAGGATTTCCCCTGTATTATGGATCCGTTTTACATACACATAT